GTCTTGTAGAACTAATCTTATAGGTGAAAAATATACCAAATATCCATTGCACAGACATTTCAGGACCATTAATATTGAGCTAAGAATTGAGAGCTACCCTCCCAGGTGTGTGGCATGTAGACGGAGTCCATATGAACACATGTGCAAGACTCCTTGCCTCCTCTTTGAAGTGCTAATAGCCCTTTCTCTGCAGATGTGTTGTTGCTGCTTTGACATTTTCTGAGGTCTATATTTTTTATTTGTCATGCTTGTATCAAGATGATAGTAGGCTGTTTTCATGGAGCAGACTCCATATTATCTCTCCAGTTAATTTACAGTCTTTGTCATAACAGGAATAACATACAGCATAGTGTTATTTATTTATTTTTTAAATTTTTTTATTGAATTTTCTGCTAATGCACCCTACACTGCAAGTAATGGCAGGCAGGAATAGATTCCTGCTCATGGAAATAGTGTCCTTCTAGAGATGGCCCTCTCTTAGGTATGCTTGACAGCTGGTAAACTTCATCCTTGTGGAATGGTGGAAATCCTGCAGGAGCTTGTGAGTGAGCTCTTTCCCGAAGGCCTGTGAAGTCTTATTGCAAATACAATTAGCGACAATTTCCCAAGATGAGAGGTTCCTGTCACTCAACCCACTTTTATTATGTTTTTTGCCTCAGGATAAGACTTCCATGTCATCTTGATCCAGTGGGTTGATATGTGCTTTCAAATTATTTACATAAATTTTTGGATCTAGAATTTCTACCTGGGGAAGTTGTAGTGTGCTTAGTTTTGCAACAAGCTATATTTTTATCACTCATAACTATTCTCTCTGACAAGGACTTTAATCCACTTATCTGAGATAATGCTCAGAGAGAGCAGTGCTAAATCACAGGACCCACTAAATAGACTATCCAATTAGGATTATATTAATCACTTATCCACTTTCATGTGAGTGATGATAGTAAGGTTTTGCAACCAATCTTCTTGAGAACTCAATGGCAAGAACACAGAAATTCAAATACAAGACCCAGTGATACGGCTCTTCATCAATGAATTATCAGTAAAAGCCTCTTTATTCATTTTCGTTGGTTGCAGAGATGCCAATTTATACAATTTTTAATATGATTTATATATTTTTTTTTACCCTTTTTACACCATTATGGCTGTAGGAGCCAAAATTACAATTTTTCAGAAAAAAATTTCAGAGTCTGTCTTTGAAAATCCTGATTTTCCCACCACTTCTAATTGTCTTCAGTCGCATAGCTGACCCAACTACTGGCTGCTATGCCCACTGCAATATTGTGTACATACCGCATACATTGAGATTTGGGTTGGTTGATTACCTCACTGCACTTAGCATGTGTTCACTGCCAAGTCTGTGCCAATTTTTTTTCTTACTTATGCCGTTCTCAAGTGTGGATATGCCTGAATTGCCAAGGCAAAAACCTAAAGTAGGTGAACCTAAAGTAGGTGAATTATCTGAGAAAAGTAATCCACATCTCATATTTTTTATGTTTTCAGCTTATTGAAAAGATAATGTTCATCAAAATAATGCCTTATATGGTTTATTACGGATAAGTACCACCAAATTACTGAAAATCTACAAATAAAAAAAAAAAATTACTGATGGGCTAGTTTTCAGGTTGGCATCTCTGAGATTGTTAATTCGCTAAAACACTTTATGTATGCAATTGTTGCAAACAATCGTATACATCAAGTGCTTTGACAGGAAGTACTCCATTTTCTCATTCTTTCTTGGATAATTATGGCCTTCCTTGCCTCAGTGGTAGCTGTCTCTTGTGTCTCCTTAGATGATTATTGCTAAATGTCTGCTAGATACGAGTGGCTTTCACTACGTTCATGTTCCAATGTCATTCCATTGTATTAGCAATGGTATATGTGCTGGAACCACTGTCTCACAATTAACATGCTAAAAATCCTAGGTCATTTGGGCTTTTACATTTTTAGATTGACTGTCCAATTAGCCTGTAAAGTTGTATTGCAACAACCTTTTTGATAACCCTCTTACATATAATTCCTCTGATACCTCTCTTGCTTGGGCCTCTTATTATTAATGCCCCTTCCCTGAGGTTGTATAGGAATTTTCCATTGGGTACTTTCAATTATACTTTTGGCGGCTGTTATGCAGCTACCACAATGGCTCCGATCTCACATCATTTTGTTTTGTTCTTCCATGGGATTCCTTGTTCTTTATTGGATGCTTAAAGCCCTGCATATGTTATCAGTGTCTTCTTCAACAAATTGATTATTCATCAATTGATACCAAACTCTAAAAGTGTTTCACATGAGTAATTGGATATTTCTCTCATTCTACTACACATTAGTAGTTATGACTTACTATGTTATTCAGATTTGTTGTTAAGGAACAGTATTCCACCACCACCTTTTCCTCCATGAGTATGTGTGATGGTTTTGCTGTCGTTGAGATATGGTCAGATGCAGTTATTTTACTGTAGATATCTTCACAATTCAACTTCCATATTTGACTATATTCCTTTTTTAAATGCACTTGTGAGGATATGATTTTGTTGATTTCCATATACCAAGCAGTACATTCATGCTCCACTTAACCCATTACCACTAGGGATGGCATGTATGTCACATGTATTGTGATTTTAGTGTATTCTTTTTATTTACACAAAGATGGCTCCACAAATACTTCGTTACCAAGGAGTCAGTTGATAGCCCTATCTATCTTGCTTGTTTTTCAAATGTATTATTGTTAACTTTTATATTTCTGTTTGTATTACTAAGAACTATTGGATTCATGACGCAAACAATGATAATAGCAGTACTGATGTTATCACTTTGGATGTGGGTGTCTTGTGGCTTGCACATGGACCAAAATCTTTGTGTTAGGCGTACTTAAGTGGTGACTCTTCTGGGTGTGTCTTGCAGTCCTGGCCCACACGAACACTCATGCACAATATGAAGACTCCTTGTCTCTGCCGTGCTCTGATATTTGCTCTTACTTTGCATACACTGTTTTGCCATATTCTTTTTATGCTGTATCAAGATGATAATAGACTCTTCTTTAGCAGACTCCATATTATCTCTCCGGGTAGTCTAGAATTATGTGTATTAACAATGAAAAATGACAATGTTACTTGTTTTTTATATATTTTTGTAATATTAGATTTTATGTTACATTCTGCTATGTTAGTCAAATTGGCCTGGAATAGGTTCCTGCACATGGAAATATTGTCCTTATTGGACATGGCTCATGGATGATACATTCTACCCTCATTTATTTATGGAAATACTGTGAGTCCCTTCCCAATGGCTCACTGAGTCAAAGCTTTGTGGCAATCCTGTCACTCACCACTGGGCAACAATATCTCATGATGACACCTGTCACCCACCATCCTGTCAATTTTTTTCATGATGTGACATCCATGTCACCTGGATCCAACAGGTTAATAGTTTTAGAAAAAATGTTTTTCCCAAAAACTCAAGGAAAGGGGAAATCATATAAGGATATGTAATCCTGCTAATTGATTCCTTAATGGCTGAGCATTTGTAGAACTATCTATCAGAAAATGGAACTACATTGGGTTAGCATCCATTTATTGTTCTGTCTAATGGTACAAACAAAGGTAGCTAGTATAATATTATGTCCAAATCTGAGTTGGGTGGAATTTTATTCACCTAAAAGTGTTGCCTTGGTACTCTGTACCTGTCATTTAGGGATTAAACAGCAATGTTTTTTGTGCTTTGAAAACAGGATTCAAATCACATTGATATCATTAAAAACAGACTGGATGCCACAAGCATGTATGTGGATATCCTGAACTGACAATACATGCGACATGATTGTACACAGTAATTTATTTTATATGACAAAGTTGCATGCAATCTATGCAACATTTTCATGCAAACAGTCGAATAAGGTGTGCTTTTATATATTTCTTTTCTCATATTGCAACAGATAGAAAATGAGATCATGTGTATAGTTCACACAGATGAAAAGGGAGTTTAAAAAAAAATGTTGATATTATGTTATGGTGTCTTTCAGAACGTTCAGAATGGATTGACGAATCAGTAACTGGATGTGAGTAATGATTTACAAAGAATGTAAAGTGTTATAGAGATGTGCAAGCTCTTAGGGTCTGGGTGAGCTGTGATGTGGTTAGCTTGAAGTGAGCCAAGGATTTATTGTACATATTCTGCATGTTGATGATGTGAGACTGCAAACTGTAGAGGTCATGAAGTTTACAGGAAGATGGTAATAAGCAATTTGAAATTTACTCTGGAATAGTTTTCTTTTAAATTGAAGGTTTACTACTACATAACTGGGTATTTGTTTATGACTCCTTTGGTGGAATCACTGCCTTTTAGATATCCTGTTGTACTTCTTAGTATGATTTAGAAAATTGGTGGGTGTTGGCTGTAATGTAGACATTTAGAAACTACATTTTTTCTCTTTTTAATGGCCACTAGTAGCATGACATTTATTAGATTTACAATATTTATTGATACTGTAATTATTTGGTCTGTTTTATTTGCCAGGACTCCTCATTTAAGAATTCCATTATGTTCTGGTTTTATCTGCATTGAAACTAGATATAAATTTCTCGTTTAATGATGTTGTGCATCTGGATTTCTGCCTATCTGAGTATGATCCTGCATTTGAAAAATAGGCATTGAAACAGTATGTGGCTTCTAAACATTAATCTTTCGGTACAGAGGTTGAATATTATCCAGTCAGAATATTGATAATGGTCAGGGAATATGATTTTATGGTGAGAAAGATAATTATTTTACTTGAAAGAAAGCCAGAAATATAATAACTCAAGACATATTTGCTGGAAGAAAAGACTGCATGTCACTTTGCACAACATCTGTGAAGCACACAGACAAAATAGTGTTTAAGAGGTGAAGTATTTGAATAATTTTTCTTTTATTCATAGTCATTGTCAACATTGTATATTTTATACTGACAGTGATTTTTCAATTTATCAATCTTTGTTTGATTTTTAATATAAAAAATATAAAGA